GTTTAACTAAGTTTCTCTTCCTATCCAAGAGCAATATCCTCACTTTATATGCAGGGTCAAAGTGAATGTCAGTATGAGAATCGGAAACAATTAGGAAACGTTACTAAATCATAGGCAGTAATATTATAGCGGTAATTAATTGTTGTCACGAACCGTCAGGACGATATTGGTCTTGTGGCATTATGAAGTGTAATTGTGTGCTGATCCAGCTTTATCTTAAAAGACCTGAGGAATGAGGACATTAAGATATATGCAGGCAGGGGGATGGGCCTCTGTTAGCGGAAACGTAAAACACTTTTTGGCTTATATGGTAAAAATGGTCCGACATCTCGTTCCCAAAACAGCGATCGCACCCTTCTCCATGACATCAGGTAAGCTGTTTGAATTAATTCCACACATTAGCGCCAAAAATTGCACTCAGTTAACTTCAGGCGTACTTTCAATCGGCAGGCGTCTGTGCGCAAATACACTGATTGGTCAAGAAGCACTGGACGGTGATTGGTTGTCCCACCCGGATTGTCGAGGTCGGAATACGAGCGAAAATATTCCGAGACCTGTGTCCTTCAGTGCATAACTGGTAATGTGGTTAATGTTTATACTTCTCCTGTGCTGTGGCTTTTTTTCTCAGAGACACATTTATTATCCTTAAATGCGCCAGTGAAATCCGAGATTGTGTCGATTTGGAAAATGTGTTGATCATGGAACAGACTGTCAGTTTTATAGATTACAAAGTGGAATATCAGAGGGTTCAGATAGTGATGACCACACTGATTGCAGCTTCAGAAGGCAATTTTCCTCCAAAAAGTGTCTCAATGTGTCCATTTACTTAAAAGCAAAGTGTACAGGTAATTGACTGCAAAAACCCGGGTAGCGGGAAGGGCATTCAGCGTGTGCTGCAGAAAATCCTCTCGTTGTTACGATGTAGCCCATTCCACAAGTCGGGCGTCCTGTGCGTCTTTTAAAATTATGTGAATAAATTGAAGAGCGAGCTGTGTGCTTGCTGCAAGTAGACTGAATCATCGCTGTTGTGCGGGATTTCGTAAAGCCACGTAGGTAATTTTTTTCAGGTCGAAAACGCAATTCAGAATTTCGGATAACATTTGATGAGTTAGCAAATCTACCGTAAATGACTGAAGATTCTGAAAGAATTTGTCGAGCAGCGGCAGAATATCGGCGAAACACGCGTGTGTGGACTTTTGGCTAGTACCTGTGCTGTTGGTATGGAATCACCTTGTCCTAAAGCATTTGTCCTCAAAAAAACGTCTCATTGTGACCTTTTATCGAATGAATAGAGTGGACTGCAAAAACCCGGGTAGCGGGAAGGGCATTCAGCGTGTGCTGCAGTAAGTCCTCTCGTTGTTACGATGTAGCCCATTCCACATGCCGGGCGTCGCGTGCGCCTTTTGAAAGTTATGTGAATAAATTGAAGAGCGAGCTGTGTGCTTGCTGCAAG